TCATTGTTTTGACCAATTACACCAATGTTTATTCAGTGTAAACAAGCAAAGGTACATATCGGTGAAATTTTAAGTAATTATATATACATTCCATTGTGGACAAAAGAAAGTTCATGTTACCCAGAAAGTGTTGTATTTTTTCGGGGTCTAACGTTTGCCTCTGCTATCTTACCACAGAAGCAACGAGGTTCTTAACCTAACCTACTTGCCGACTCATTCATGCAAATACCGAATTTTGAAATCCACGCAGGAACTCAGGCGGAAAATGTAGATTATAAAGAAACGCTGCATTATTCATCGATGCTTCAAGACCGGTCCAATCCTGAAGCATTTGTGAATATTACTGCTGCATCGACGAATAACAGCTCGACGCTTTTGCTAACATCCTCGTATTTCTGTAACTATAAACATAAAACCCTGTTAATTCGTCCTTAACACGTTGTTACTCCTGTAATCTGTCTACAATCATGGCATCCAAAATAATATGTAGCACTTGCTGTAGCAGAATCACCAACATGCATCAATTGTTTATTGTATAACACATTTCTGACTCGACATAAGAATTGTGCAGTCATTATCTGTTCAAATGAACAGATCACGCGCATGCGCAGAACCGTTCGCTGCAAACCTTTATCGTCTTTTTTGCATCCCCTAGGGAGCCTTCATGTGCGCTTTGCTCCCCTAGTCACATTAATTAATGAAATGAGCGGTGTCTTTCCAGAATTCTGTCGGAGCATCAGGAGGAAAATGCTTTCAACGGATGTTTGACAAGTTCCTCGCAGTGCAAATCGCAGTACCGAACTCGTTATATGAAAAAAAAAAACTAAAATATATCAATCACAGATAATTAAAAAAAAAAAAACGATCACACCTTTTTACGCGTAATACGTAAAATATTCAACTCACGTCAGGAGCAGTTAGTTCCCTCAATAATAGGATGGCATGGCATTTCTCTTTTAGAAATTGATTCAGTGCAACTCTTGCTCGTAATACTAAATTTTAGTAGCTGTTTATAACTAATGCCTACTGCAAAATTTCTGGATGCAAGCTTAGGATAAAAGCATGTGGTGGAACTCAAAGGCGGCGTTAGTGCGGCACAACTTTCGCGCAAGCAAAGATAAAGAGGACACCTACTGCAAACGCTCTCGAGGAGCATTGACCTCCGGTGAAAGGCCCAGTCCTGGCGACCTCTTGAGCTCCTTTATTCAAGTGCAAAGAAAGTTCTCAAAATTGGTCGAGTAAGGCTGATGTAATACCAAACCCTCTTTTGGCGAGCTGTTCGAGTTAATTAAACGCGACGAATTTGAGAGTGGTGAGCGGTACACAATATAGGGACTGTAAACGGAGGCAGGACCGGTTTCAACGTTTTATGTAACAAAACATACCAGAGCCCAATCCTACAAGGGGGGAGGGGGGACATTATAATATGAAGTCAGCTAGCAGGTCACTGTAACAAATAACACATATAACAAATATGTTATTTCGATCACGTGGCATTTTCATTTTTCAGTACCTGAACAAAAGCAAGACGACAAAAGCAAAAATAGAAAATACACACATAAAAAATGCTGCAGACGGTTGCAGACGGCCATCAGACGCTTCAGCAATTCTCGAACCCAAAATACTCCGGCTCAAGTGACAAACAAAAACTCGTCCACTGCAAAACGAGTCAGGAACGTCAGCGAGGCCAGCCGGCGGGCTGTTTTTCATTTTCTTTGCTTGCAGTCATGTAGCCCAATTTCGCAAGTCCGGGCTTATCCCGGTCACCGCCCATTGCCACGGTTATTAATCCTCCTGGCTGTTTTTCCTTTATATCTGGCTGCAAGGACTGGCCGTGGCGACTCATGAGCCCCGAGCCGTTTGGCTGGACAACGCAAGAACGTCTGAGAGGCGGTATAAAGAAGAAGAAAAAAAAAAAAAAAAAAGCAACGCAACGTAGCCTAGCACCCTAGAAAACCGACCTTGGCGTCTCTAAAACAAGACGAGGGTGAACGACCGGATGTCCCGAAGTCTCTCTCTGCCTACCGGCGAGAAGAAATGCGCCGAGGTGAAGGAAGCCGGCCCTCGCAGAGCTGGCGCACAGACTCATGGCATCCACCGCTTTTTTTTTTCTTTTTTTTTTTGTGGACGCATCTTTTGGAACTCTTGGTTCCCTCGCTTGGGCACCTTCTTCCTCCTGCGCCCTCGGCAGCCGCCGCCAGCGGACCCGTCTTCCGTGTTTTCCGGTTCCGCCATTGGAAGACCTCCTCTGCCTTCTTCTGCCTTTTGCTAGCCTCTTTCTCTCGCACCCTCCCCAACCCGTTTCCTTCTAACCGATATTTCGACTAGCAAGGTCACGCTGCAGGCGAGGAGAGGGGGTGTGCGCCTCAGTACGCGCTCGGCGGGCACCTGCGGAGGGGTTGCGAGGGTGAAGGTCAATGTGTTTGCGGTGCTGCGGCCGCTCGCGGGGGATGCTGGTTGCCCCCCCCCCCCCCCCCCCCCCCTCCCCTCCCCCCCTCCATGACCCAGCCAAGTGGTTACGCGGTGGGACGCTTATGGGTCTGTGTTCGCCAATGGCTGACCGGTGTCCGGACTGCAAGAGGACTGTGCACAGCCTCTCGCAATCTCAAAGATTCACTCGCCGAGGCAGTTTATGCAACTGTTGCTAAGCACGCTCTGGTCAGAGGCACTTTATCGTATGAGAGAGAATAAAACGAAGCTTCATTTATTACCTCACACCACGGAAGGTGGGCCTGGTCAAAGCGAATCCAGAACAGCCGTCTAAACCTGCCTCGTCAAATGGGCCTTTATAGTGGTGGAGACTGTATGTAACAAAAATCCCGAATGTAGAGATTTGCGTAGGAAATCGGCACAAAGCTTGAATGTTTCAGGCCAAACAAGGCCCCTTTTGTGCTAGTCCAACCTCAAAAATTGAAACAGGTGTTTATAGTGGAAGGACGGTGGCACAAAGTTGGGTACTAATGCTTGATCGTAATCGATATGAAGACAGCTCAAGAACTCTTTTCCCGAGATGCACCACATTCCAGTGACACAGCTAATAATCTTAAGTATCGCACTAGATAGTGGATGTGCCTACCTGTCGGAGAGGGAATGACAGAATAATCAGAGTTTAGTCGATCATTTTGATAACTCCGATTACGACGTACGGCGCGTGCTAAAGGGAGCCGGGGGAGTATCAGGTGTCTTAATCAGAGTTATCTGAACAATATATTAAAACACTCGCTTAGTTGCTTTCCTGTTCACAAGGTATGGCATGGAATACCGATGAGCGACTCACCCTCGTGCTAAGCAGGGGAGTACATCTTGTCCACATTACTGGATGTCACGACATACCCGAAGAACAAATCAGACAACGAAGTTCAATATAGGTTACAGAACAAGATAAGTAATAACTCAGAAATATCGGGTTTGATTTCTCAGATATCCGGGGCAATGGGGCTCCAAGCCTCGTAATAAACTTCACTCTATAAATCCTGTCACAAGATTACGGTGCAGTGCGAGGCTTCGGAACGAATTTTACGATGTTGTCCTGTGCGCGCTAAAAATTGGACATACACCCCCCCCCCCCCCCTCCCCCTCGCGGCCACCTGTCAGTTTAGGTGCTAAAAGGGGAAAGGGGGGGGGCAAGGGGGCAGACGCTCTCTCCAAAACCTTTTCCCTCGTTTTTTTGTTTGTTTGTTTTTTGTTTACCATTTGTTTGAAGAATGCGGGAGCACTCTTCTCCCCTGGGGTCAGGAAGTGGCCCGTTGTCTTCAACGACATACACCAGCCACATCCAACAGATTATTTCGAGTTCTGTCATCTCTCTTTAGACGAGATTGTTAGCCGTCGCTTTGAGGTCGTTTTGGTTTCCGCTGCGCCATATCACACGGCGGCGAAGGCCGCGCCACATTCTCCTGGGCGCCGTCCGCGGCGACTTTCGGTAAACACTTGTCGGTAAAACTTTAGCGATTTCCGGTTTATCCGAGAAGTTTTTTTTTTTAAATCAAAGTAAGAAAGATGAAAAAGAGTCTGGGACATTTTACATTAATGTCTGTAGAGTGCCCAGTCTGCTGTGGTCCCAAGGAGAGGCCCACTGCAGCCACTTTTCTAACTTCCGAGTACTGACCAAGGGCGGATTTATCTTCAGCGTTGGGATAGCTAGTCGTTGTTGTATTTTTTGACCAAAGCAGAAACCGATTTCAGTAGGTGAGTGTGCTGCACACTGCGTTCATTTTCGTACTTGGAAGGGGGTGCAGTGTTAAACAAACAAGAAAGATACCTTCTGTATATAAAAAAAAAATCAGGCAGTTTTTTTGTGGTTCGTGTGTTCCAAGTATTCGTGTGTTTATATCCAAATGCAACGGGTGTTTTAATAAATCATTTCTAATTATGAACTTGGATGTTTCGAATATCGAAGGAGCATATAATTTATCTGCACTGCAGAGTAAGAGAAACATATCCAGAAACTTTATTAAGAAGCCCAAGGTGCCGCTTAATGTAGATTTTGATCTATGTCCCCGCTCTAACTATACGTATCGCTGGTCAAAAAAAAAAATAAAAAAAATCCACATAATTGTGCTTTGTTTTGTAGAACGAAGATACAATAAATAAATAATTATTAAGAAGTAGAACAACGGTGTTCGCTGGTATCTACAGAGTACGCACAACTTTCTTTGACCGAGTGCGTCACAGAATAGCCACCGAAGTGATCTTCTATACTCGTTTTCACCTTAAGAAGAGTAGTAAAAAAATTCCGGCCTTTCGCGGTGCATTACTGATTTCACCTTTCAATAGAGAATTAAGACAAACGTAGGTGTGTTTTAGATTCGGTATATTGTTATCTTATCAAGGCGTACGTGTTTCAAATGCAAAAAAGCATTGCTTCCTCGTCCGGGAACCACCTGTAAGAACTACTTCGCGCGGTGTATAAACAATGCGCAAAACTTTCCTTTTTCTGAAGGTAAAAACGAGTATAGAAAACAATTCTAATTACTCATTTTCGTTACCTTTTGCTACAGGTGCTGTCCGCACTATCCAGCCCAAGCCATGCATGAACAAGGCGTCGGGCCAGGAGGGCACCTGTATGTTCGCTTGGGACTGCTTCAGTGCGGGAGGCACACACCTCACCTACTGCACAGACTCGTTCTACACCGGAAGCTGCTGCAAGCTGCCGCCAGGAGTCGTTGTGCACCAACACGAAATGCCGTCCGACCCTACCAACAGCATCGACTCCATAGCAGATGACAGTGATGAAGACTATAATAAGAAAACCAAGAAGCCTTCGTTATCCACAGCCAAACCCACAGTGCCAATGCGCAAAACTACGCCGCAGGCGGTTCACCTCACTAAGCCGACAGTGTCACCCCAGGAAACGTCGCAGAGCACACCATCTTTCGGTGGACTGTCTACTTTCACTCCGGGACTCATTACGTGGAGGCCACACGAGACCACCCTTGTGACGGACTCAAAAACGCCGCTGGTTACTTCTCCAGGACCCGTGGAACATGGAACGACTTCCTCAACAAAGGCGAGTAAACCCAGCACAACGCGAATACCCATAGTAGCAAGTACGTTCCTTCACCCAGAAGAGCCACCGAGGACTACCGGATCAACATTAGTGGCGACAGAGAAAACGCAGCCTACAACGAAAGGACCTCCAAAGATTGACGTTGAAACGACGACGCAGCCAATCTCCATGATCCCAAGTTCCGAGTCCGCTAAACCTCACCCCTCATCAACGTTAACGCCAACTCCGGGTCAGGAACCGCACAGTACACAAACAACACCGATGCCTGCGACCTCTTCCGTTCAAAGTCATACTTGGATAGTCAACGAACACGAGACGACCATGCCAATTCCAACGTCTGTGCCGAGCGAACAGTCGTGGGTAGTTGTGGACGAGGCGGATGCAAGCGGTCAGCAGACGACCATCGTCCAGGTTCCATCAACGCAGAAGATGCCATCCACTAAACCCCCGCACACCTCGCCCATGTCTGATTGGTTGACAGTCACCGAAATGATGACGTCAATTTCCTGGGTTGACATGTCTGAACTATCTACCTCTCATATTTCGCCGCCCAAAACATCCGAGACATCGTTGCCACCCACGAAAACCACACCACACAAGACTACAGAGAAAACCACGGTTGCTTCACACGCACCAATTTACACTTCTACGACCCATAAACCAACCACGGGTCAAGTGGCGCCGTCGGAGTTCTTGAACACGGTAGACGTGAACACGCCAACGCGCATGCAAGTGTCGACAAAGGTGACCACCCCACTGACAACGAAAGGGGCCACCACGCAGCCGACTACAACGCAACAATACGTTACTAGCACAGTATCAACGACATCGGGTAGACCCGCAAGTGCATCATCCCAGACCAGTGTACCAACTAGCTCTAGCAAAGTCACGACAGGGCGTTCAACAACACTGCCGACGACGACGACTGCCCGAACGACTGAGAAACCGAGCACACTTCCAAGTTACACGACCCCAAAAAGCACGACAGTCACGAAAGCCAAGCCTACTCAAACGACGAAGACCTCTCCTTCGCGCAGACCGTCGCCGACGACAGCCGGGACGACGACTCCTGCAACGCCAGCCACACTCACCGGCGACAGAGACATTCGGAAAGGTAATATAGATTTTTCTTTTGTTCCAACTACTTTCATCGCAATGCGCGCCACATTAACCCTGTTAATTTCCCCAGTCTGCGGTCGACCCAAGGTTGTTCCGAGAGCGAGAATAGTGGGAGGAGACCAGACGAAGTTTGCGCAATGGCCTTGGATGGTGAGTGGAAAAAAAGAAAAAAGAAAAAACATAGCTACACATGGCTAATGACCTTTGCCGCTTTTCTTTGGGCGAAGCTCTGGCTTCTTGCTGCGGTAATGAATATGCGGAATTCTACGTTTTCAATGAGCAAGTAATCTCGGTTGGTCATATCCTAAAACTGCGCGCTAATCTGTTAACCGAGCGGACCTCGGTCATTAAATAAATTACATTAGTTGTCTTTGCCACGCTTGTTCTTTTTTTTTTTAGGGCAAAGCATAACGATTATAATGTGTAATTCCTATTAAATGAAGTGACTTCTTGTTTTTATGTATTTAGAATGGAAATATTTGTTGAGGAATTCGAGCCTGAAATTGCTCATTTGTAACTTGCTACATTGCTAGCACTCCTTTCTTTATATTTCTCTCTCGATAACCATAAAAGACGATACCTGGAATGATTCAAGGCCTCTCGTTCTATTTTTTTTTACAAAGTATTTATGACTGACCTTACTGGAGCCGTCGTGGTTCACCTTTGTTGTCGCTTTGTGTTCCTCATTGTGTCCCATCTGCCCATTTTCACACAAATTGTGCCAGATAGACAAATAACAGAGAAATTCACTTGATTAAAAATTTATAAGCAAGTAGCTTCTGTTTGATGTGGCTGATGCTGTCAATTGAACAATTTACTTCCATGTTCCAGATATCTTTACGGCAGTTCAAGAGGAACACATTTCTGCACAAGTGTGGCGCAGCCCTCCTGAACGAGTACTGGGCCATCAGCGCAGCCCATTGCGTTCACAAGTAAGCGGTCCATGGACAACGCAGAGGATGGTGCTAAAACGTATTTCACGTTCCATGATGCTTTTAGGTTGCGTAAGATTTCCTTTCTGAAACAAAAAAAAGAAAGAAAAAAACTGATTCAGTTTGGTCTGACAAAAGCACTAACTGTTGCTGCCGGTTCTGCGCCGAAATGCCCTGATCGCTCATACCACATCACAGTCCGACTAGAGCCACTAAATAAGCTACGCTTTCAGAGTAGCGAATTCCTTTCTTTGGCATTTTGCGACAAAACAGTCACTCTATCCAACAATATTCTGGTTCGCTGCGGCGTCATTGGACAGCGGCAGTCACGTGAGTCGCTATCATTATCATCACGTTTTCTCAACGCCACCATCTTGGGTCCGGCGGTCCTCTGCCTGGTGATGTTTACTGTTTACTGCGCGCGCACGCTGAAGTTCGTCGCTCAGCACGCGTACTTTCCGTGTTACCTCGAGATACGAACAACACGACCTTGATTCGCAGGCGACGCAGGCAGGCGACGGCTACAGCTCGGCTTGGCTGGGCTAGAGTCACTCCTCCATCTGCGCTTGGGCCCAAGATGGCGGCGCCTGACGCGCTTCAGATGCGCAGTTTGGGAGTTCCGATCCTCTGAAAGCGTGGCTTTATTTAGTAACTCTAAGTCTGACCGTCGAATACAGTCATGTCTCGTTAAAGGGAAGATGGGGCACTTCTGCATTTGAGACAAAACGCTTGAATTGCGTTCATTTGGCCTTTAGGATAACAGATATCACAATTATATTTCAATGCGATGCGCCGGAGGGAGCAATTTCAAAATAGGGCTGAAGCCCCGCCTCCCTAGCCTTGGGCAGCCAAAAGATCCATCGATGACGTCACGTACAGCGACAGTCTTTCGCCGTTTTCTCGCGTTCAACAGTACTTGCGCAGCAAATGGTTTGGGTATTCGGGTTCACGGGGTACAGATACAGAATAATTCACTTCTAACTAATTTTTTTCAAGAAGCTCCGTAGCTTCCTTTTTAATATGAACCCCGCTCATAACGAAATCGTTACGATCTAGATCAGGGATAGGCAGTATTTCAAATACAAGTATTTAAAATACGTATTTCAAATACTTTGTGTATTTTGAATTTGTATTTAATTACAAATTGGGTAATGTATTTGACGTCTGTATTTAAATACTGAAACATGGGTATTTCAAATACAATTGTAATTAAATACAATATTGTAGGCAAAAATTCATCCCTCAAATGTATTGTCACTGTTCAGAGCAGGAAGAAAACAACGTTCTGCACCTAATGCAGTGTCTCTCAATCAAGCACAAGTGTTTAGTGACTTTGTGATTATGGTGCTAGTCCAGGGCAAGAATAGTGACGAAATCGACGTTCACAGGCAGACTGGCTACATAAGTGCCTGTGACAACTTGTGATGCTTTCCAGCCTGATTTCTATCCATATTTTTGGTTTTGACTGGAACGTTATAAATGCGCGGGTCGTCCAGATTTTCGTAACTGATGCGAGCTGCAACAATAAAAAAATTCTCTAGCTAGTGCTGTGTGTCTTGGTCGTCTCGGTTCTTTGTTGGTCTATACCAAAATGTAATCGACAAAAAAAAAAAAAAGCTGCTTGAGGCTCTGTACTTTTTTCACCTATTACGTCCAAGCTGATTATATTGTTTGTGATTATATTTCTATTACCTTACTAAGCATCGCAAACTAACTCCCAAGTGTGCGATGCAAAATTAAAATGAGATGCCCAGAAACCCATTGCAGGTGCCCTGAAGTCGCTGACATAAATTTTGAGGAATGTATTTGGAAAAGCATTTGGAGGAGACCAAATACATTTGGTTGTATTTGTATCTTGTACTTAAATGCTTTTTTGAAAATGTAATTAGATTCGTGATTAAATACATTTTTACGAAGTATTTTGTATTTGTATTTCGATACATATTTGCATGTATTTTGCCCATCCCTGATCTAGACACGGTTATGGGGACTGACTCGGTAAATACGTGCGTTTTTGTTTTCTTATTTATTTCGCACTATGAACGATTTTTAAGGGGGCACGGTAGTTTTTCCAGTGTCGCGAGTAAACATTACAGATGATTGTATAACTGATAATGAAGGTTTAATGGGGCAAACTTGTGCCTACAAGCTTAAACAAAAAGGAACTGTGCATAGCGCGACGGCGACGAAAGTGTAACTGCCTTGATGTTGTTACTCTCAGCTTATTTTATATCAGGGATGGGCAAAATACATGCAAATATGTATCGAAATACAAATACAAAATACTTCGTCAAAAATGTATTTAATTACGAATCTAATTACATTTCCAAAAAAACATTTAAGTACAAGATACAAATACAACCAAATGTATTTGGTCTCCTCCAAATACTTTTCCAAATACATTCCTCAAAATTTATGTCAGCGACTTCAGGGCACCTGCAATGGGTTTCTGGGCATCTCATTTTAATTTTGCATCGCACACTTGGGAGTTAGTTTGCGATGCTTAGTAAGGTAATAGAAATATAATCACAAACAATATAATCAGCTTGGACGTAATAGGTGAAAAAGTACAGAGCCTCAAGCAGCTTTTTTTTGTCGATTACATTTTGGTATAGACCAACAAAGAACCGAGACGACCAAGACACACAGCACTAGCTAGAGAATTTTTTTATTGTTGCAGCTCGCATCAGTTACGAAAATCTGGACGACCCGCGCATTTATAATGTTCCAGTCAAAACCAAAAATATGGATAGAAATCAGGCTGGAAAGCATCACAAGTTGTCAGAGGCACTTATCTAGTCAGTCTGCCTGTGAACGTCGATTTCTTCACTATTCTTGCCCTGGACTAGCACCGTAATCACAGTCACTAAACACTTGTGGTTGATTGAGAGACACTGCATTCGGTGCAGAACGTTGTTTTCCTCCTGCTCTGGACAGTGACAATAAATTTGAGGGGTGTATTTTTGCCCACAAAATTGTATTTAATTACAATTGTATTTGAAATACCCATGTTTTAGTATTTAAATACAGACGTCAAATACATTACCCAATTTGTAATTAAATACAAATTCAAAATACACAAAGTATTTGAAATACGTATATTAAATACTTGTATTAGAAATACTGCCCATTCCTGTTTTATATAGACTACGTAGTCTAGGATATTCTGCACAGGAACAAGAGATACGTGTCAATATCGTACACGTTCTAGATCAGTCGCGAAAGATAAAATGAAGATCTCGACTGGTGAGCTTCGAACCCCGAGTCGTCGTGTGGGAGCCGCGCGCGATGCCAGCTCGATCGAGCACTCGAGAATATTAAGGAGGCATTACTGTAGTTGCATTATTGTGATCGTCTCATAGAGAAAACGGTGATGGGTGAATTAATCCTTGGCCATGACCTATTAAGCAACGTTAAGAATTGTCTTTTCCTGATAGTCGAGTTTATCAATGTTTGTATATTTGTGTCTATAGGTATATACACTGTGTATTTCCTACCAAATTATCAGTTGCTTTTATCACACTCCTGCGGTACCGCTCCTTGAACGCTGCCGGATATTCCGATTAATAAATGGCTAAACTACGAAATTAGGCAGTCGAGAGTCCCGGCTCAATTTAGCTCGGAAATTGACGTCCCGTTATATACCACGACGCGCGACCTGACGTCACGCGACGCGGTCACGCGACCTGACGTTCCGGTGTCAACCCTCGGTGTGACGTGGTGTCATGTCACGTGAGATCAATTTCTACAAACGCGCGCACATATTTTCGGAATACTGGGTTCCGTTAAAAATGATTCTACGGCTTAATAAGTTACGAAACTAGGCGCTCGAGAGACCGACTGAGATCCTCAAAGCAGCCTCCTCGAGAGGCCAATCGGAACTCCGGCGGCTCGTTTGGGTGCGCGTGCATTGAAGCGTTTCTCATTAAATGCATTGCCGGCCGGTCGCGCACCGCAGCGCCAGAAAAGATCAAAGGAATACACAGAGGAGATTCCTCCGTTTCCTGGAGAGCGAACGAAGCCCGTACCGCACACTCCAGAGGTTCCTCCGGTCGTTCACCTCTTTGGGTCGGCAACGAGTCTTGCTGGGTCTTCTACGCGGAATCAAAACCATCTGCCAGAATTGCATAGATAGGTGGTTTAATAACACCACGATGATAATGGAAGGATTTAGGATAGGAGACCCCACATTTTGATTCCAAAAGAAAAACTTGGGTTGTGCCACTGCGCAAGCGCAGTTGTACAATATAACGCCCAAGTTCTTTGGGGGGCCCAAAGCGTGGATCCTACCTGTTCTTAAACTTTCTAAAGTGCTTTACGAGTGTTGGTAACCCGTGCATAACTAGAAAACCGATATAGACATGCTCATAAGTTATAACCGTTAAGTTAGCATGGAGGCCACTGGAGTTCATTAGCACAGGAACTCAGAACAGAGCAGCTTGTAATATGAGATTATCAGATGGGAAGAAAACCTAATTGAAACCAGAGAGGACATTTGCAGTTTTAAATGCGTGCCGTTCAGGTGGTTTATCGAACAGGTGGCTTGCATGGAAGCTCATTATCGATGATATTCAACTAAGAAAATCATACGCACGTTACCAAGGTCAGGATATGGATTTACAAGCAATCGCTCTTAACGAAAATTCGCAAAATGTTTGGAGTGCAATATACTCGCTGCAAAATTTACCTTTCAGGCTCTCTTATATACTCATTATAATCTGCTACACCATAGGATCAGCAGTTGATGTCCCTCCTCCAACGCAAGCTTTATTTTACCTTCGATCACACTCCTGCGGACACGAAGTTAAACGCGCAGGAAGGCAGAGCGCGTGCTGGAGGTACAGCGCCTGCTGATACATCGCAGAAAATTTTTCTAAGGCGGTCCTCTCTCTTTGTTCGTGCAAAAACTGTCTGCAGGCATGTTGGAAGCATATACTTATATGCACAATGCAAACGCGCTTAAAACATTCGTGAGGCGTGTATCCAGATAAATCTGTCAT